ATGGTAAACCCACTCTGAGCTGGTATAATGAGCAGGTGGCATCCCATTGTGTGGCACTGCTGGAATACAAGAGTACAGTCACATGTACTGTGTTGAGTCTGTGCCAAGCAGAATGAATGAGACCAGACTGCAAACGAAGACCACAGAAAGAAAGAGACAAACTAATGGGAAAGTGCACTGCAAAAAAAGTTGAGTTTACTACCATGTGTTTGCTTAATAATGTTAGTTTGTTTGACTGATTTAAATTATGTTTCTGGTAATTAAAATGCATTGCCTTTCATTTTTCACTAAATTAGATTGAAAAACCAGTCAGAAATGTGATGAAACAAAGGGGCAATATGCAACTTTTTTTGGTGAAAGTTCTGCTTGTTTCCAGAGAGATGCTTTTGCTTTGCCCAGAATCTGCCACTCATGGGGATTAAACATATCTATCAAGTCAAGCAGATGATGCCAACAGGCCTATTTATATGCCAGATCTATATGGAGAGGTGAGACATTTCAAGGTCCTTTTGAGCAGTAAAAAGAAACAGCAATTGAATGCAAATTATTATACATATAAGTGCCATACTGTATAACATTTAATGGAAAAGGAAAAACATCTACATGGAGACAAACAAGTTGAAATAATTGTGGTCACATAAGACATTAAGTAGTCATAACATATTTAAATCAATAATACAATTCTTGATTTAAGTCATTTAAATGTACCCTGGGTTATCCCTGTTAGCTAGAGTTTAAAAACAGGAAAGAGATAGCGGGGTTATTTTGTACAGTTTTAGCCTCAAGTTTGGGGACAGAGTCACACTGACACACTTACTGCCTGGTGTGCACTTCCCTTTCATTCTTTGTCACTTTTTTTAGCTCTGCCAATGAGCTCGGTTGGTGTTTCCTGACTGTCACATAGACACCACAGAGCATTTAGCGGTAACTGGAGCACAAACACACGCAGACACACACACACATGCATACAGGCACACACACACACACACATAGGAGACTGTTTTCTTGGACATATGCCACTGCAGAGGACACCTACAGAGCGAGCAGGAAAGGAGGAAACCATATGGGCATTTTGAGAGTCTAGGAGATGCACACACTTTAACATCTTTAGAAACAGCGTATGTCTGCTTATTAGTCCTGAATGAAAGTCTTGTATGTAATCTGTTGTTTACAAATCAGTGGTCAGTACAGGATATTCTCGCTACACTACATAAAACATTTACCCATAGTGTCTTAGCAGAGGTCTATAGTCTTGACTTTTACATATTCTGCACTTGACTAAGACCCAAACCATGTAAGTCAAGTCATGGGACTAAATCTCAAATCAGAGCCAAACTAAGACAAGTGAGAAAGTACCAGAAGATGTTTGAGAGGTGGTTCTTCTCTCAAACAAACAAAAAAAAAAAAAAACACTCTGCTCCATCTTATGAGGTCATGTAGTAATACAGGAAGTGCTCCACTGTGTTTTTAAACTTCATACACCTTCACTAGAATCATTTGAACGATTTCAGGGCTGAAATTGATCATCTCTTCTTAACAAAAGGTAAAAGGTAGCTGTTAAATTGAACATCACAAGGTGGAACAGAGCATTTCAGGCTTTGGAGATGAAGACAGACTAATAATAAAGGATTACTCAAACAAGTGTGAATGAAAAACGCAACAGCTTAAAACTCACAAGACTCACACACAAGAATTTTGCGTAATATAGGACCTTTAATATTAAACTACTCTGTCTCCAACCACACTGTACTTCGTTCCTGTCTTTGTTTTATCCAGCAGTGTTCCCCCTCCTCTTTGGGTTTCCTTGAACTGACAGGGCTAATTCCCCTTCTCTGCTCTCCAGTGGGCAGACAATACAGGCATCAGCTCATTAAAATCTATAGTCCGTCATAAGCTTTGAACCCGCGATGCTGTAACTAATGTTCATTTAAACTCCACATCTTTCTACCTGCAGGACATCAAGTATTCTTTACATCTTAAAGATAACAAGGGGTCCCAATCAACACCATTAAATACAACATTAAAGGTATATCATTATAATGCCCATTAAAGGGTGAACCATGTAACTTTTATGGGTCTGCCTGGAATGTTCAGAAGTGTGGCATTAAACTTCTTTATCTCCATGATGACAATTAGGGGATGCTGCAAGGCTGAGTTACAGATCAAATATGTGGAGAGGTAATTCTGCACATAAGAATGCATGTTTTTGAGGTACTTTTACAACATCTAAATTGATTAAAGGCGAGATAGGTATATTTAATGCCATACCATGGAACATTTCAGAAAACAAAACAATAAAATCACCATGAAAACAAAGATAACAGGTCCTCCATCAGAAAAGTTACAAATGCAACTTTAAACAGCTTACCTATAAAGTTAAAGGGGCTATATTACACTATTTTCTGATCTATGTTATAATTTGGTTTCATCATCAAAAACTTATGAACCCAGAGCTGTGATTTGTTTCATTCACACAGACTTGTATTTAAACACACACTTAGGCTGTGTTCTGCTCACAAATATAGCAAACACACAAAGTTATGTGTTACTGTGTTTTTAAACTCCATACACCTGCACTGGGACCATATGGATAATTTCAGACCTGGAATCTCTACTGTTTCAACAAAAATGTAAAAGATAGCTGTTAACTTGAAAATTACCATTTCATGACATCATAAAGTGGAAACGAAAAGTTTGAGCTTTTGAGATGTAGACAGCAAGTGTCAAACATGTGTGAATGAAACAAAACACAACTCTGGGTATGCTTTCTATGAGGTAACAACATTCTAACATGGCTTAAAACTCACAAATTTCCATAATATAGGACCTTTAATGTTACTTTGTTGAACACTGTGAGGGTATGATTGGGCATTTGAGAAATTATTGAGAAGCTTGTAACATTGTAAGATACTAAATCATGAATGAGTTGCTGCTACACAGCCAGGTTTCCCTCGCTACTGTACGCCACAACAAAGTCAAGCCACTGCACGTGCTTACAGCCATTAGCACCTCGCTTCTCGTAAAACCATAAAACTGATCAATAATTGATTTTGGTTCACATATATCAGGCTCCAAAGCATAATTACAGGGAGAGCGGGACATAAACTGACACTTTTTGCATTTTATGAAATCGACAACCAAAAGCAATGCATTATTACAAGTTATCTGTTCACTTAAAGGCTCATTCTGTTTTCTGATCTGTTATGTTTCCTCATCAAAAACATACTCGGAGTTGTGTGTGTGTGTGTGTATGTGTGATTTTTATTTTATTTTTTATTTTTTTGGTTGTTTTTTTTCATTCACACAGGTTTAACACGCAAACCCTACATATTTAGGAGTTATTTTTCTCAAACTCTGTTCAACCTTGTGATGTCATCTGGTATTACAGGTTGTTTTTAAGATCCACACCTTCATTAGAATTATTCAGATTATTTCAGCCCTGGAATTGCCAGTCATTACTGAATAATTGCAGTTAACTTGAAATCTACTACTTCATAACATCACAAGGTGGAACAAAGCATTTTGAGCCTTGGAGATGTAGACTAATAATAAGGTTACTCAAACGTGTGAATGAACCAAAACCCAACTCCAGGTATATTTTTGATGAGCTAACAACATTAAAACATGGCTAAAAGCTTACAAGAATCAACTTTGTGTAATATAGGACCTTTAACTTATCATTGGGGCCATTAGTTTTATTATTTTTGCCATAAAAATTCACCCTATAAACTGAATAATTTTGAATATCTTCAGTCCATAGTAATGTCATTCAAAGCTGCATTCATTTCTGTCTCATTCCTGTCATAGAAAGAAATCTATTGTCTTCAAATCGGTGAAAAATGGAAAAACAAGTCTCCTCCTTACAAACAAGTGAAAGGGGCTAACAGCAGAGCACATTGGCAGAGCGCTGTTTGAACCGTATTGCTTGGAGACAGTGACAGTCTGGAGAGATAGTGGTGAACGCGATTCCCCTCGGAGCAACCAGGCGATGGAGAGGAGAGAATTCGCACAAGAAATAACTAGCTCCACTCACTTTGATGGCACAGAGCTTCATACATGTCTGAGCGCCTTGGAAGTAACTCAATTTTGAACGTTTTCTGACCCCGATTCGTCTCCCAGCTGCAACCTGTCCCCCCATAACACTTTGATATTTTTTGTGTTGTATTAAGCAGCGGATTGGTTACTAGTATTACAGGCAAGAGTAAAGCAATCGCCAATACTGTGTACAACTGGTACTTTTTAATTGATTTAGAAATTAAATATATTTATTACTGAAGATATTTCCAGCAGTTTAATTAGTTGGTGAATTGGCAAGAGTTTACTACAGATATCCCTGTTGTGAATGGATAAACCATGTGTGACACAACAATAGTATGGTCAGAGCAGAAATACAACCTTCAACTTCAACTTTTTCTTTATTATTGCCCTAAAGACTTTAATTATTAACCATCTCTGTAAGTAATTATGTTTACATATTGCCACCAGTCTAATAGTTGGTGAATGGGCACGCTTTTTTTCTTCAGATATCCCTGTTGTGAATGGATAATGCAATGTGGGTCACATGTCTTGCCCAAAAACACAACAACAAAATGGTCAGAGCGGAACTACAACCAGCAAGCAACTTCACCTTTTTTTTGTTGTTGCTATTTAAAAGTAATTTTACATTATGTACAATTTCTCAGTCGTCATGTTTACATATTACCACCTCTCCAATAGTTGAAAGTTAAAAGCTTTTTTGTTGTGAAAGGATAAAACAATCTGAGTCACGTGTCTTGCCCAAGGACACAACAATAGTAGGTTGTGCTTAAAATACAACCTTCAACCAACTTAATCTTCTTCAGCATTGCCATAAAGACTTGAATTATTAACGTTTTCTGCAAGTTCTCATGCTTATGTATTGTCATGCTTTTACTAATTATTGACATCTTGCCAAAATCCACATATGAAGCAGTAGTAGTATTTGAAGTATATTTACCATAACACAATAAGATGTCACTTACCTGAGCGATCTCATACAGCAGTTTGTAGTGCTCCTCTCGTTTCTGCAAGGTGCACAAATTGCAGCCCATTCTAGTTGTCAGGGAAACCGCTCCGACGGCGTGCCGGATGACCGTGTGTGCGTTGGGAGATAGGTCTGTATATATGTGTGGAGGCTTCCCCCCTTAGGCAAAACACACTCTATCTCCGCTTCCTTGGCTCTTTCCTGTGTCCTTCCTCCTCATCAGTGTATCCTCGGCGATGCCCTTTGAACTTTGCAGACTTTGGCTAAATGGTGGTGCTAGTATAGTTCATCATTGCTCCTCTCCTCTGGCTCCTCTCTCCTCTCAGTGTGAGCGCACGCTGTTAAAACCATGCACTTTTGGTACACACCTCCTCTAGTGGCAGGCTGCCTACACACGCTCCTGCCCCGTACTACAGCTCATGCATACACAGAGAGCTGATTGGTCGGCTGGAGGAAGAGGAGAAGGGAGGGGAAGAGGGGGAGGAGACTAGCTCTATCATGGGCTCATTGAGGGTCTTGGGAGTCAGTGCATTTCTCCTACAGCTGAGAGGAGGTTGGGTGATGAGATTGTGGTGCTTAATTTTCACTAAATATCACATTTAATTTGTTTTATGATGCCTTCTCCTCTGACAATAATTCTTCAAAAGTACAAGGTCAAGAGTATAAACCTAAAAATGTGAGACAAATCCACAATTGCAATTAGGCTCATAAGTCAAACCATGTAATTGTACTGGTGTCCTTCTTTATATGCAGAAATAACTGTGTGTACATTATGAACAAAATCAAACATTTTTATCTGAGAAAGTAACTGCACTAGATTTTAAATCAGGAATCAGCCCATAGGATTCATCCACGAGTTTATTCTGAATCATTTGGATGTTTAACTAAGGGTGTGAGCCCAGTTTAGTCCAGATGGAAGACCTGGTTTGGTCCTGTTTTAGTCACTCTACTAGCCTGATTCATCACCCAGTTTCACTTTGTGGAAACCGTCTGACCTGCAGCATTAGAATTTGTTCGCTTGATGGTAGGCGGGTACTTTTTTAAATTTAACCAATTGCTGCTATTTGGTCGTGACCAAGGTAATGCGCCGCTAACTGGGCAAATTGGTATATTAAGCTTTTCTCAAATAACGTAGGAAAAAGGGCACTAATGTCTTTCCCCTTGATAAAATTCACCAAACATTCTCTTTGTTCTGGCTTTAAATCCTCAATCTCAGGAATCATTGCCAACACAGAATGTATGGCTCTTCGCTGATTGGCTGATGCCCGGACTCACACTTCCGGGGTTCTTGCAAACCATCTAGTGTATTTTGATTTTTGACCTAGTTGCTGGAGAGTAATGAAATTGAGTGGAGGCACTAAGTGGCGCCAGCCTGGCTATCAGTATTCAGGAGTAGTTCTGAAATGAGTCCTAGTTTTGGTGTGGTCTATGTATAACTCTGCATACACCCTTAATTTATGGTTTGAAGTAAATTAAAAGCATATCTCTTTCTGCCCCCACCTCACTGTATTCTACTAGTCTTCATACCACAATTTCAGAAAAACTGTGTTGGAGTGTACCCTCTTAAAAGAATGAAACAAACATCCAAACACAAGAAATGGGGTAATTGTGACTGATGAATGTCTCTGAAAAAAATATGAGTAGGTCTGTTTTTTTATTTCAGTGACAAGCTGAGCTGAAAAAGGCAGTGCAATTGGGCTCTGCCTCTCTGTCTCTCCCTCCTCACTATCTTTCTTTCTCCCTGTCACTCCCTTTTTGTTTGTCTGCATCTCTGCCCTTACATTTCAATAGAAGAGATAATGTGGCTGTGATTGCATTTGACAACTGGATTCAGCATGGCCATCAATCTCATTTAGATTGGAGCAGATAGCCTCTTGCACACACAACAGTGTTCAGGGCCTGTATTTAGAGGCTTTCCATAGATTTACAGTCAAAGTGCGATAGCGACGGAGCAGATGCCTCTCTCTGTGAGTCCAGTTAGACAAGGGCACTGGACAGAGCTGACACAGGAAGAGCCACAGACTGATATTGATTGGCTTCAGATTAGCTTCCAACTCGCCCGCCCCTTTCCACAGGGGTGAGAGAGTGACGGAAGGAGAGAAAGTGACAGTAGACAAGAAGATACTTTAAGATGAATGGACTGGGATCTAATGGTAAAAACACACTGTAATAAATTAATATGATTGGTGGTTACACATAAGGCTATTTATTGTGGCTGATTAATTTGAACAGGACATAACAGTCTGTCAAAGTCAAGATTGTTTGTAAAATAGGCCTAAGGGAAATTGATCATATATGCAATGTACAGTAATGTCCACAATATCCTGGAATTTCCTAGCCTGAGTATTCAGGCGGTTTCACTTCGTGGAAACCGTCTGACCTCACAGCGTTAGGATTCGTTCGCTCGACGGTAGGCGGGTACTTTTTTATTTAACCAATTGCTGCTATTTGGTCCTGACGTATGTAATGCCTCACTAAGATGGCTAACTGGTATATTAAGCTATTCCAAAATCCCGTAGGAAGAAGGGCAATAACGTCTTTCCCCTTGATAAAATTCACCAAGCATTCTCTTTGTTCCTGCTTTAAATCCTCGATTTCGGGAATCGTTGCCAACACAGAATGTCTTGTTTTGTCTGGATCCATCTCGACTGCTTTGTTTACTGCTGTGTTGTACCACAAAAGGGACCCAGACAGGCGCTTGAGTCTGATGTCATGGCTTCACAGCTCTTTGCTGACTGGCGTTTGCGTGGTCTACAATTTCCAGGGTTTTTGCTAGTGTATTCTGATTTCCGACCTAGTCGCTGGAGAGAAATGAAATTCAGGGGAGGCACTAGGTGGTGCTAGCCTGGCTAGGAAGTCCTGCTGTATGGTATAAAACTTTCTGGGATTAATTATTATTTATTTATTTTAAAGCTGTGGTTTTGTTTTATAGGTAAGGTAAAACGTTAAAAAGGGTAAAAGTCTTCAGCTAAGGTAGTCCCTATTAATCTCTATTAATATACATACATACATACATGTAAAATACTTCTTTGGGGTATTAATTGCTGACACATAACACATTTAGTTAATCATGTTACCTTTTAAAATACTATTCCCCAAAAACAAGGTTGTTTAACAAGTTTTGTTTTTGACACAAGATATGACCCCTATCAGAGAGCTCTACCACAACACAATCAGTGTGCTTCCCGCTAATAAAACTACAGGACATCTCATCAGGTGTGTGAAGTTGTATTTTTTTGTGTTTTTGTATATTTTTTCACATTCCTGTGCAGGAGCATGGGTTAAGTATAGACTTGTGAGCTGAATATTGGACAGGCTTATACAGTTAAACATAAGGAAGGTTTGAGTAGTGCCTGGAAGAGATTGCAATATTAATCAGACATGCATGGATGGCATAGAAAACCCCTTCAGGCAAGTTTTTGATCAGGGAACAACATGACAACATGGTAGAAAGCACCCAAAACCCAATTTTGCATAAAACACCCTCTTTAATGTTGAAATATTATGTCCCTCATACGTTTCCCACTATGAAGATGTAGGTGCACCTCATTTGACTCATGGACAAAAAGCCGTGACAGTCTCATACAGTGGTGGTGTGATGGGATGATAGAAGACAAATGAATCAATGAAAAATAAATGAATGACGTGTTGGGTCCCAGGAAAGGCATGCTCCAGTTGTCAGAGAGTATAGGGGGAAACTGAGCGGTGTCATCCTCTTATCGTCCATCACACATGTACGAGGTGCACAGAACTGCAGTCAAGGGCATCAGAGCACATCCAGATCCAGCCCTGATAACATTTAACCCTTTCACACTGATCACTGCCACTCCTGCCATGAGGTCATCTCCGTCATGGAGACCTATGAGGGACCTATGAGTGTGTGAGATCATTCATTCACTGCTGTGGGGTTGATGGCTTTAGAATATCTTCTCAGTGGTTATGTTTTGTAAACGTTTTAAGATACTACAAATACAAAATGGATTTATACAACACATTTTCAAGACCCTGTAATCAGTACAGCCGTCCATGGTCCAGTTTAGGAGTTTGACGTCCAGATGTGCCTGTAATCTTAAATAATGTAAGCATGAATTAGTTTTTAATGAAAAATAATTTATGGGCTTACCACTTTGAGAATGTCCGGTCTTATATCTCTGAATACTGGATGTGAGACTGTTGGGAATACAGGTGCTGTAGTCGTTATTTCCTTAGGCAAGACACTTCACCCACCTTACCTACAGTACTGAAATACAGCAGTTAATGAATGAGAGTGTTCATGACTACATCTGTGGAGAACGGATAGAAAATTGCCCAAATCCATCTTGTTCACATCATGTATATCATCTATGTTCATTATCATGCACTGTCCAAATAAACGAGTAATAATGTAAACAGTATGTGTGGTAGTTATATCTATTAGGTGCATAATTTTGTCTTGCTATGTTTTGATATTGCTTCGTAGCTAAACCCAGTTCCCCAGGCAGTTTGGTGCATTTATTGTTTCATATACAGTGCACTTGTGTAAGAGTCTTTGTGGTGATGCTGGTGAGATACCTCCATATTCAATGGCGCCCTGGGGCAGACTGAGGCAGAGAACACCCTCTCAGCCTTCTCCATCCACCACCAAACACACACTATTACTCCATACAACCCAATACATCATCATTATATTTCATATTCTTTGTTTGGTTTCTTTGTAATTCTGTGTAATTCTATGCTAAATGCCATTCGTGTGTAGACCATGCTATTCTCAAAGGTGCAATGTGTAACTTTTCTGGTGGGGGTCTGCTAACTTCTTCTTTCCATGGAGATGTTATTGCATGTTCCACAGTATGGTATTAAACTATACTACTATCTAACTCCACACAGAAAGATGACACCACCAGACCAAGTTACAGGTCAGATCTGGTGATTCTGCTTATAGAAACAATGCATGTTTTTCAAGATTTTTTACAATTATATAACGCCAAAGCAAGATTATGTTTGTCATATAGTGGTACAGATAAAGCAATAACATCTCCATGCAGTAAGCAGATCCGCCACCAGAAAAGTTACATACTACATCTTTAAATATCCATTTTCAAGCAGACCTCTCATGCACATTTGTTTTGTTAGAGCTTTAACCATGTTAGAGTTGTTTCCCCTCTACATTTACTGACCTGAAGTTGTATATGGAATGATGTGTGCATGTT